ACTGACAAGTAGTACAAGACAATACAGAAGTACAGCACACAATAACACAAAGACAAGAAGTACAGAACAAAATAACACACTGACAATCAGTACAAGACCGTGAAGAAAATAATACAGGACAAAATAATACAAGCAGTACCTACAAGAACATAAAGAAGCACAGGACGCAATAACACAAAGACAAGAAGTACAGAACAAATAACACACTGACAATCAGTACAAGACACTGAAGAATTACAGGACAAAATAATACACGGACAGGATGTAAAAGGCGATAAAGAAGTGGCAGCTTTACTAAGCACCGCCTTGCGCGTTTCGCGTACCGACGTCGTCGCTGACGTTCAACCTCGTGGACGCCGTCATGACTCCCGCCTTGCGAAACTCCGTGTTGTCGTACTGCGCGGAAACGCCGATCGAATACGACGTCATCGGCTGCAGGCCGGAGAAGGACGCAGAGTTCGACAGGCCCGTCACTCGCTGCAGTTGCACTGCGAGGAGCAACGAAAAGTTACCGTCGCCGTCCCGTTAATCCGGCAGCGGTCACTGCGACGTACCGAGGTCGCGGCAGCGGGCAGTCGCGCGGCGACCCGGTGCACGCACGCCGCATTGCTCCTCTTGGCTGTCGCCGTGACACGCAGATATTGATCGCGAGGTACGCGGCAGGGGACGAGGCCTGCAGTGTTTGTTAGGCTAAATGTCTTCTGTTACACTTACAGCCGCGTTCACATTTTTCCCCCACGGTACACCATCTGGTAACCCACCAACGTCCAAGAATCTTCCCTCTACCATTCCATCTTCCAAGACAGACACTCACTAATATGCATTGCATAAATTATAACAAGAAACTGTTTTGTCCACCAGCAGCAGTTCATGATAGAGCTCTAAACAAAGAGACGGTTCCACAAAGATCGCTAACCTGCTAAGTCTAAATCTATTTAAGGTCATCAAAGTTTATTTACCAAACTCCTGTAGGAAATTATCCTTTTAAACAAACCAGTTTTACTCTGCGTTAATCCTTATAATATGCTATATATTGACTAACTAACTTGTCTATTAATGTTTAACATGCTTTTTATTTGCCATGACACTATTTGCATTCACTCTTACTCTTACTAATATCCACTAACAAACACAGGCACACACATAATCCTTGTGGTAGGATGCTGCATTACACATTAATTTCATAGAATTGCATCTCGTCATTGAATTTGGGTTGCATCCTCTGGGTTTACGAAATGGGTACATTTAACATTAATTCTGAATACTGTGACAAAGGTTATCTCTACAAATTGGGCAGCTGCATTGATGACAGAAATGGAATACCAGTAAATAAACTCATAGGCTACATTTACCCATCTCCTGTTCTCGTCTAAAATGTACACTAAAATGTAGACTAAATTGATTTACCTGATAAATCAGCATCTCTGGCTACATGACATGAGACCGTGTATTTGATAACTGGTATAGACGTGTCTGGTGGTTCCCAGTGAATAACAATCATGTCCTCACTGTTGTAGACTGCCCGCACGTTTGTCGGTGGTTTTAGAAGAGGGTTCTGCACATCTGAAAAAATGTCCATGACTGTAACTTTTCTCAACACGTCAAGCATTACTATCCATTATTTTAATCAGAATTTGGGCTGTTATAACAAGAGCCCATTAACATTTACCCTCTTTAGCATGTTTGTCCTTCAGGTTTGAGACAAGTTATATGTGTGATTATGACTGCTGCAGTGTTCCAACTTCCAACGGCATAGATTGGCACAGAGCAGTAAAGTAACTCACCTTGATTTATAAAACACATTGGTAGAGTTCAGTATCAGTCATGTACAAGGACCACATAATGAATATAAACCAATAAATTTTGCCCTAAACATTTTTATAGTCTGTCACTACTGAAATCTAAAAATAAAGTCAGGTTATAAAATATTTTAGGGTACAATTTATTAGTTTGACTTCCCCACAGTAGTTGATGTTATCTGATGGTGTACTGTATCGAAACTCGCCACAAACTGAGCACGTACATTTTCACAAACTAATACACAATTTGCTTCTAGCATTGTATATACCTATACAGTCCAAATAGCCCCAAGTATCATAAAATCGAAAGGCATGTGTGCTGACATTAGTTTTGCAGCCTGGCCAGGCTACACTCAAACCTGATAAGAATCACTCAAGGTAGAAGCCATAGGAGGTCTTTAATTATAGACATGTGTACATTCCATAGATGGCACATAGATACTACAACTACCATAGGTAAGACTGTTCATCGCTGTTTAACTGCATCTGTGCCAGCGTCTGAGCCGTAATTGCAGAAAGCATTGCTCAATACGTATCAAAAAGATAGACAATACGGCCCAAGGATAGAGAACATGGGTCCCAATAAAACCAATGTGCCTAACCCTAACCCTAATTCTAACCCTAACCCTAACCTATTATATTGATATATTATAATATTATATTTATATTGATGTAAATGACATTGGTTTTATTGGGACCCGTGTTCTCTATCCTTGAACCGACAATACTACTAGGTACTACTAGTCTATAGAGACATTCTCACGCTAAAAAGTTAAATGGGAACAAGGCATGAGAGACTTATAATAACGTCAAACGCGAACCCTTGCATCCACGTTCTCGTGCCATATTAATCGTTCGTTTATCATTTAGGTACCTATACTACACAGACTGAGTAGTACCGTAGTACTAGTACTAGTACTAGTAGTAGTACTAGTAGTAGTACTAGCAGGAGTAAGATAATATAGGATATATAAGATATATATCCTATATTATCTTACTCCTGGTACTATAGTAGTACACACTTCATTGACAATGACATGCTCACGACTTCACAGTCACACTGGGGGTAATTATAATAATTTAATAATACAAACAGAGCCCAACCTGGCAAACAGACTGTACTATACATATTGTTGATACATCACCAGGCAGAGTATGAGGAGAATTTTCGCAACTATGCAGGCTCATCACCCTGCATCACGTAGATTATATCGGCATGACTCATCCTCCGTGAGCTCATGGCGCTTACAAAATTCAAGGTAGGCAGACTGAGCCATAGAAATCTGCTCGTTCAAAATTGCTATCGCATTGCCGTTGACTTGCCCCGAATATCCTTGTAAACATAAACTTACCAACTGATAGAACAGCATCTAAGAAGATAGATATAACTACAAGTAGCTTCATGACGCTGTAGACAATAAAGTTGCGGACTAAAACACAAAAGATGAACTACTGGAAAATTTGCTGCGAGAGTAGGCGACAAAAACAAATCCGGTTTTAGGAGGTGGCGCCATCTATTTTTAGAATACGTAGCTCTGGGTGCCAGGCACAGGAAATAACAAAACATTGAGGGGCAGTCTGCAAGACTAGTGCTCCATGGTGTGCTTTGCTATCTTCCCCCGCATTCTCAATGTTTTGACTGCGGTTGGAGTGGTGTTAAAAGGTGGCTGTGTTGGTGAATTTTGATATCCCTTACTGTGATTGCGATCGGTGTCGTGTAAACGTAACGGTAACGTGACTGCAGTGGCGTGGGGTACTCTTGAGTCTTGTGCGTAATCCACAACCGCCTGTTGCTCAAGGTGTAGCCTGTATAGGCTGTAGGCTGTAGGCTGTAGGCTGTAGCGTCGAGTCAGTCAGTGGTTGAATGCTTTGCCGATAGGATTGCATCCTGATTGCTTACAAGTTACATTACCAGACTCGATTTACGATAACGTGCGGGGCGAATGCACCCAGCGGATGAACGTGAATGCATGATACACTGTGTCGGAAGTGGAGGGGTCAGTCAGAACCCGCATATGTATCATGATGGGAAATGAATCCATCGAGGACATTAAGCCCGCCGTGGGGGAAGATAAGCTCGCGTCGTCCTCGGTCGCGTGCGGCATGTGTACGGGTTGCTCGACTGATCCCCGCCTGCTCAGCTGCCTCCACAGCTTCTGCTGCGAGTGTTTAGCTAGCCTGGATCAGGTTGTCGTCAGCGCGGCGGCCAACTGCAACAGCAGCTTCTCTGGGGATCACAGTCACACGCCGGGGAAGAGCCGGCAGGCTGTGCTCTGCCCGACGTGCGGCACCTCCACCGAGGTTCCCAAGCTGGGAGTCGGCGCACTGCCCGTCAACTACGTCCTGCGCAACCGCAACGCGCTGCTGCGTGGTGGCACTGCGCGTCACGTCGTCGTCGTCGCGTGCTCGCTGTGCGGCGGTGAGAACGCGGTGACGTTCCGCTGCATCGATTGCGCGCTGGGGCTGTGCAAGCTCTGCAAGGAGGCGCACGCGCGCCATCGCGCCACCGCCGACCACGCCGTCGTCGGCACGCTCGATGTCCGCCTACAGGGGGCGCCACTCGCCGATCGCGACGTCGACGCGTGCACCGACGAGTCTCCACCGGCCGCCGCCACCACCTCGCACGAAGCACACCTCAGAGGCACGCTGCCCGCCGACCCTGCCCTGGACGTGCACCACCAGGGGTCGCCGCCGGCCGGCGCGGCGCCGCGGGGCGTCCTGCACTGCGAGCGACACACCGACGAGGAGGTGGTGATCTTCTGCGAGACGTGCGACCGGCCGGCGTGTGCGACGTGCCGCGCGCGCGACCACGCCGACCATCGCTGCAGCATCGCCGCCGACGTCGCCGCGCGCCACGCCAAGGTCATCGCCAACCTGCTGCGCGCGACCCAGCCGCACGTCGACGCCGTCGGCGGCGCCCTCTCGCGTGTCGCCGCCACCAGGGCGGCGCTCGAGGGCCGGCTCGCGGACACGGCGGCGCGCGCTCACGCGTTTGTCGATGCCCAGGTGAGGGCGCTGGAGCAGCATCGCTCAGAGCTGCTCGCCGACGTGGAGTCGGCGCGTCGCGCGAAGGACACGCCGCTGCGGCTTCAGCAGGCCCAGCTTTCACAGCTGCTGGAGGACCTCGCACATTCCTGCAGGGTGACGGAGGAGGCGCTGGCGGAGGCGTCGCCGGAGGAACTGCTCTCCCTGAAGCGGCCGCTCGTGAGGAGGCTGCGAGAACTCAACCGATGCAAGTACAGGCAGGAGCCGGAGCAAAACGATTACGTCAGGTAGCGGCTGCTCTACCTGCGTGGCTCCACAACACACCTGTGACTTGATCTACATAATAGAGATCTCTATTATGTACTCTTGATAATATGTAGCTCTCTAATAATTCGCTCTGCCACACACCTGTGCATAGCTCTACCTATTTAGCTCTTCACCCTGCCTCAGACCTGTCACCTGCTCTACATATGTACAGTAGCTATTAACTCTGCCACTACTTGTTCTACCTATTTAGCTCTTCACCCTGTTTCAGACCTGTCACCTGCTCTACATATGTACAGTAGCTATTAACTCTGCCACCAGGTCTGAGGCAGGGTGAAGAGCTAAATAGGTAGAACAAGTATCACCTGCTCTACCTATGTAGCTATTCACTCTGCCACTACTTGTTCTACCTATTTAGCTCTTCACCCTGCCTCAGACCTGTCACCTGCTCTACCTATGTAGCTATTCACTCTGCCACAGGCCAGTATATCTACGTATGCCGCCCTTTGCTCCACCACAGGGTTATTACTTGCTCTACCTATGTATCCCTTTGCTCTTCCACCCGCCTATAGCTCTACCTATGTAGCCATTAACTCTGGCTTCGCTCTAGCATTCATTCTTCTTCCAAGTAACCAGCGATAGAGCAACCGACTACATAGTTAGAGCTAGTCAGGTGTAAGCTTTGGAGTGGCAGATTGCTTAACCAGAGCACACCTCAGTTCTGGTCTATTTAAGGACCCCTCGTTTACATACATCATTGTCCTCACCAACCTATCTCCAACTCTAACCGTAACCTTAACCCTTAACCCTCACCCCAACGGGCCCAACCCATAACCTTAACGTATTCCTATTATAGGATAGGGGGTCCTACAGCAGACTTGAGCCACAGATACAATTCGGTTGTGAGTTATGTCTAGGTTATTCCTTAGTTGTATATCTGCACCAAATAGTTTGGAAATTTTTTGATGTAGTGCTGTTCCACATGCCGAGCAAAAACAGGAAAGGAGGTGGGGGCATTTTCTGCTACTAATGACCAGTAAAAATTTGTGGGGATGGAAGAAGATCTCTTATTCCCCCTTCCCGCGCCTTGTTTTTATCAACAGTGCAATATGGTACCTATTAAATGCGTCGACTTACGTGCAGCATGTTACTTATCGTACAGCATGTGATGAGAAATCTATCTTGCAGTAAAAATACAAAGGTATACCAACTCGTTTTCTAGCAGATGTGTTATTTAAAAATGTCAAAGCAGATTTATGAAACAAGCCGTAACAAATCGTGTTTGAATCTTTCAGTTTCTTGCCACGTGGGAATGAAGAAGCTGCTGCTAATTGTCTAATGAGGGGAAGAATCACAACGCAACGGCTGTGTCCAGCGAAATGCATTCTGAAGGGAGAGGGTACGTATAAAATAATTTCAGTATTAGTTGTGTGTATTGCAGTTGTTCTTTCCGATGAATTGCGTCTGTGTGCGTGATTTAGAATTGCAGAGGCATGCAAATGCATTGCGAGATGGTAGACTTTATTGCTGTGTGCGTGTGGGCGTGCGTGCGTATTTGTGCACGTATGCATGTGCGGGTGCACGTGTGCGTGCGTGTGTGTCCGGTGTAAGAATGAAGAATGAAATGGTAATTTTTAAAGGGCTACGCTGACTGGAACGGTAGCAAAATTGCCTTCTGCGGTTTGGCAAAGTACTGCTGTCTGCCCACTTCACATAGTTGACGTATGTGGCCGTAACTAAGAACAGGTTTTCAGACAGGGCAAAGCTATTTGCGGTTACATTGTGCAGTCTCTCGCTTCGTCGACGACAGACACGGCCCAGGTTATGACGCCCGCCGACAGATCCAATACACAGCTCATAACTGATGTGACTGATGTGAGCATCTGTGACCGTGCAGTTTCACTGACTTCGCAAATCACTGACAGCAATGTAGGCACTTGGGAACGGTCTATTGTGCAGTGGGACATATAGCACGATTAAATGTCCCGGCCGTGGCGGTGCGAGCACTGATAATAGTCAATGAAATCTGTGTAATTATGAAAGCCTGTCAATTTAGGTTGATCGTTCGAACGAGTCTGTTGGTAGGAAGGCTACTGTCGTGAATGGTTCCAGTATTAGGTGTGCTTATACCAATATTTGAAGGAAAATACACCTATCGTGGAGATCAAATTGGTTAATCAGCTTTGCTAATAATCTGTCAGTGTAAATGTTTACGTTGCCGTTCACGGATCACGGAACAAAACTTTTAAGAACTCGAGAAAGACTACTGAAACCTCGTAAGACAGTTCTGTCATTAATAGTAAAAGTTTACACTATACACGGCCCGGGCACACGTGCACAGGCACTTGGAACGTCTCAATAAAAAAAAGAAAGGTAAATAAACACGAAATGTATTTACTACCAAAGTCTTAATGTTTCTCTACTCTATTTCGCCTATTATTGCCGATAATTACCCGTAAATGCCAGTCAAATGCTCATCTGCAACACACAAGTACACCCCACGCCTGCCCTGTGAACAAACAACATGTAATCATCTTATCAAGAGCGTATACAAGGCTGGCATTTTATCGACATAGGATATCCGCACATATATAGTAACTACGCTTCATCCACGATAAATCATGTGTAAATAATACGTTCATGAGTTATTATTATCATGAACCTATGTATACATATAAAATATAAGTAACAGATAATATACTATAGTTGGTCACTCTATACGTTTCTTGGTTTCTACGATATTGTTTAGTGGTGCAGCGGTACAATACCGGGTGTATCGACGTAAGAGACTTGTTACTGTAGTAGATGTCATTATAATGTTCGTATACCGCTGTTGCTGCTGGTAGCTTTTTTCCGACTGTCCGTGAATGGTGCCCCGGTTACCCCCTCAACTAATAAGACTAATTGATGTCTACAGCAGGCTGTGATCTTATGGCAAGTTCAGGCGCATGCATGTGTGCCTGCGTATGCATCAGCAGGTCGAGATGTAACACGTGCGGTCTCTGTGCATGCGCTCTTTTCCCCCTCCTAACCACAACCCCTCTGCTAATCCAGCCAGACCGTAATCGCTACGTTTTCTCATTAGTTTTGGGTCGGTGGCTTTTTGCAGACATTGTTTCCCGCCATATGGCGGAACAGCGCGGCGTCTTTTGTTCGCGGTTAGTCATCCGCTCGAGATTTGTGGTCGGTAGGTATGAGGTCATGCGCGTATCTGTGCGACATGTGCGTGTGTCACCCTACGCGCGCGCTATCACGATGACATGATGACACGACAGCGCTTATAGGTCGTACCTTGGTCGTACTGAGTGCGGGTTAGCTTTACTGATAGGATGAAGTGGTGTTGCTACGCATAGATTTCTCATGCGTGCGTGCGCTTGCGTTCGTGCGTGCGTACGTACACATGTAAAAGAGTTTACTGTTTAGAAACTGACGTGTAGTGCAGGGAGTGTGGTTACGTAATATATAAGTGGCTAGACGCAGTGGTTGTGCTGCGCATACCTGGTAACCATGGTGCAGACTAACGGTTTTTGTCGTTTCTTGGTTAATTAGCTGGATGAAATATAGTTTCCTCTGTCCACGCCCACGCTGGTTGCGTACGTACTAACGAACTATTTCACACGAGGGTGATATAGCTGTGTTCGAGTTGAATAGATGAAAAAATATCAGAAGTGTATATCACTCGTCATAATACCGCGTGGGAAGTACAGTAACCTCTCCCGCTCCGTCGGCTCTTATGCATAATTACAAGATAATTAGCATATTTATCCCCACTGTGGATCACGGGCGCTGTTATTGTTTTGCTTAGAGATGTTGAGAGCGGGGGGGGGGGGGCAGCGAAGGCGAAAGGTGAGATGTTTATTGAAAAGTTTTTCCAGCGCGCTTGGATCAGATTACGTGGTGCCGGGGATTCTGGCGTGTCCGCCGACGTCACGCCTCCGCACCGCCGCCGCCGCCGCCGACACAACCGCCGCTCGTCGTCGTCGGCTAGCTTTTATTTTATTTCCGATGCAGAGTCAAATTGGAAACTAGACTCATTCCAAACGTAGCCGTTGCTGAGCTCAACAGACCGATTCTTAACGAATTACGATGTCAGTCTAAGTGAAGAGACAAGATATTGCGGCGTGCGGTTTCCGCCACCCACGCGTACGTCCACGCCCTTCATATCTCTCAATTTTTTTGCACTTACATGTAGCATGGATTCCCTCCATTCGCTATGACCTGACCATAGTCTGTAATACGTACACGTGCTCTAATAGTGAGTGGGTTCAAACTAAACCAGGCGGCTGTAGATTTACCCCACTCGCTATGGCCGGACTCATGAAGCCCGATTATAGTCCGGACGGGAGAGGACTGGAGCGATTATCGCAGCTGTCTCTCGCTGCATCCTTCTAACCAGGAGACGGAAATCCTAATGCGTAACCACAGTGATGACTAGTGGAGTAGTGGGAGTGTGCGCGCGTGCGTGCGTGCGTGCGTGTGCGTCGGTGGGAGAGATCTACGAAGATGAGAGTCTCTGAGTGCTATAGCTCGTACTCCTCCTATGGATTTCTGATTTCGGAAGCCATTATAAATACGTTAACAGTGCGCCGGCTTACCTTGTTTATTTACGTTTGCGCTTTAAAACCCCGCGCTTATTTATAGATTATAGACGGGGAAAAGTGTGCGCTCCTAGGCGTGCGAGTGCAGGCGTAGACTCTTGCCGTAGGGAGGGAAGCGAAGAGCTGAAGATTACTAGTTATATCGCTGCGGCATTCCCACACAGTTGAAAAGGATTGGGATTAGGAATGACTCACATGACTATACATCCACTGTGTTTACCTGTATATATATATATATATATATATATTGTTCTTTATATATATCATATTATATATAGGCGGTCGCGTCATCTACACTGTATATAGTTATTATCAGAAGTGCATCGTAATAGATAGAATCTGTCTTTCAATAACTTTTTTAACTCTATTTTGTTAGGCCTGTAGTAGAACCCGTTGCTTTCACACATCGAAGTACTCGCGCTTACGCGCGTTACCCTCATGAGTTATCCTGGTGTAGCCCTGGTATCTCGTCGTTACTCTAACTCGTCGGTCAGTGATCGTAGACAGTGATGGTCGAAGAGGTTGTGTATGTGATATATGATATAGACATCTTTATTTGAATACATATGTTGCAACGTAGCTACATGAGCGGGTTTGTTTGCCCAGTGCCACACCCGACTCACCTTCTCGATCCTTCTCTCCCCCTTTATATGTATCTCACTATTCATACGTCGCAGTTCCGTTCAACCAATGGGCAACTCTCGTGCCATATTGATTGCTGAATCATCTGTGGTGCAGTATAATTTCTCGTGGCGTAATTACCCTGATGTGGTACCTGTGTGCTAATCTCCTGCCAGACAAATTTGAGAATAACGAGTGAGACAAATAACTACGTCCCCCGTGTCTACCTCTGCGCTATTGATTGAACCGGTCAAGTTCTCACCTTTCAGGCGCAGATAGCATCTGTAAATGTTTCTGACCGGGTAGATAGCACGCGGAGAGCGATGAATGAGTGATTAACCCCCATAGGGTCGGAAACAGGAACGAGTGCATGAGCTTGTACACTCAAGCCTTCTCTACTCCGCGCGTTGGTTTTGTCCGGTTCTAATCCGCAGCGCAACTACAGTGCTCTCTCTCTCTCTCTCTCTCTCTCTTTCTCCGACACTGCTGACCAGAGCGGCCGAGCTGTTTGAACAAATCAAGAGCAAATCCGTTCGAACAAGTCCGTGCCCGCCGGTGTTTGCGCAAGCAGACATCTGCGCCGAACGTGGTCGAATCTTTTGAGGGCATGTGCTGGTATCGGTACGTACGTGTATGTGAGGATGTATATATGGCCCGTGTCGTGCTGTGCGGGAGTTATGTGCGGCGTAAACCCCGCGGAGGGCAAGAAGGTCATCTTGCTCGTACCGCGCTACGCGGACTACCGCAGGCTCTACCCGCGCAACATGTTCTGCTTGCATATCTATGACAAATACACATGACGTATCTACGCTCTCCTATGACACAATTTGTCATAGGAAGATCAAATGCCCACGCTCATCGATAAATCGCGATGGATTTGCGGTCCGATATCGATATCGAAATAAATCGAAAAATAGGGCGATCCGATTTTTTTTTTTTTTTTTTTGCTAAAATGTAGGCCAGCGAGCATCGGTAGCATTTTTGACTGAACGCCGCGCGCGGCCATTATCGAAGTACGTCGCAGGGCGCAATGCATAACAGAGACAATCAATAACTGTGGTGTTGCTATTTGTCTCTGGTGGCGTATCCTGTCTCATGATGCTCTATCATAAAATCTGTGTCTAAAGCCCGTAATAAGCATGTTCTGCTGCTTCGGCCAGTTGCCGCCGGCGACGCCAGGTCATCTGGTTTGAATTCAGATAAATATATAACTCTTCGCCGCAATGTTGTATTTAAGCACAGCGATGTATAAAATGCATAGTTATCATAAGTAAGAACACAATTACATGAGTTTTACTGTAACTTTCAAAGCTTTGCTCATCGTTTTATAGCAATTCTATTAAATCGCGATCTCGGATGCGAATCGGATCGAAATATCGAAAAAAAATATATCAATAATCGCATGCGAAACTAATTTGAGTAGCCAATGACAGCCGCTAGGAAATCTGCCTAATGACAAATTTTGGCGAAGTCACTTCGTTCGCTTTAAACTGCTGAAATTCACTGCTTGCGTTCATAATAGGCTCGCTAAACTCCTATGATGCTGCAGCAACACATACAACGAATATTGTCTCATAGGAAAGAATCTTCATTTCTCTCTAGACAAATAGTGTCCAGAGAGCGTATAGGGACGTATGTATGTAGTTTGTTCAGATAGATGGCTACCAGAAACAGGCTGATGTAGAAGTAGTCGATCCCGTGCGTAACGTTGCGGCGGCGGGCGCGGGCGGGCGGCGAAATTTTTTTTCCACAAGAGTTCCGGACCCCAGCCAATCAGCGCACAAATCCCATTCACGATCGACTACCTCGAAGCACATGCAAAATTTATCAACTAACGGCCTAACCGCTATAACCTAAACCCTAACGCTAAAACCTAACCCTAATCCTAACCCTAAGAACACTAAGTACTAACTATGAATACAACCAGGCTCGTCTTATATACGCACCATATAGTTACAAAACACTATCTGTGGTGTCCTGGACTCTCGTGGGAAAAAAAATTTCGGCAGGCGGCCGGGCATACACGCGGTAATGCGGCTACGTCGCATCCAGCGCTGAACTCGTGGCTCGCCCCCGCGGCGTTTGTAACGCTACAAATGTGTACGCTAAAGTATAGATGAATTGCTGCTTGAGACACCTTCCATCGTTGCAGAGAGAAAAAAACTCCTATTATTCGATGAAAAAAACGCCGTTAAAAGTTTTGTCACGGTAGCGGCGAGCGGTAGCCAATAGC